ATGGGGTAAGGTGATCTTTCAAGTAAACTGGTTGCAAGCTATTAAGGGCATTAAGACACTTGATATTTTTAGTAATAATAATAATAATAATAATAATAATAATAATTTATTTATACCCTGCCCTTCCAGGTTCAGAAAACTGGGCTCAGGGTGGCTAACAACAAATTTAAAACACTTAATTGATGCAATGAAAAAACAGCATAAAATATAGTATAAAACGTGAATAACAATAAATTCAGAATCAATTTAGGGGTGAAATCCATCCAATAAACATTAAATGATCACCAGGGCTAGCTGGCTAAATTAGTCCTATTTGGGCCAGCAAGGAGACCAGGGGAGAAATAGCTGTGGGATCCCAGAGCGCGTAATCTTCATAAAAAGGGGAGGGGGAGGGAAGGAAGGGGAATAAAAAATCAGGCTAAGTTCAAATTGAAAGCCAGGCAGAATAGCTCTGTGTTACAGACCCTGCGGAAGGAAGTTAAATCCTGCAGCGCCCTGGTCTCATGGGACAGAGCATTCCACCAGGACGGAGCCATCACTGAAAAGGCCCTGGCCCTGGTGGAGGATAATCTGACTTCTTTAGGGCCCGGGACCTCTAAACTATGATCATTCATGGACCTTAAGGTCCTTTGCGGGGCATACCAAGAGAGGCGGTCCTGTAAATACGAGGGCCCTAAGCCAGTAACTCCTTATTTGGCTGGTAATACCTAGTGAAATCTTACTTGGCTTGCTTGCAAGTAATATCACTGCATCTGCTTTGCACACAGAAGATCCCAGATTCAATCCTCACCATCACCAGATCAAGCTAGGAGGGATTCTTATCTAAAATCCTGGTAAGCTGCTGCCAGTCAGTGCAGACAACAGTGAACTAGATGGACCAATGCTCTGATCTGGCAAAAGCAGTGGTGGGCAATATCCATTGAAAATTATAAGGAGCAAATAGACCAAACAGTAGGTGGTGCTGGGAGTCAGGTAAAGCCAACTCCTTCTAGTTTTGTCCCTGTCCACCTCCCTCCTGAGTTCTACAAGGGCAACATTGAGACTATGGAGGAGGCGGTCCACAGACCTGGACATGTTGTAAGTAAGAAAGACAGGCGGATGTGTGGGGAGAGGTTGACCGAGGGCAGACAGAGGCTGGTGAGGCAGTGCCCTGTTGTCCTAATGGAACAGCCTCTCTGGGTACAGTGGCATAGCGTGGGCTGCCATCACCCAGGGCAAGACAAGTATTGCGCCCCCTAACCCGTGAACCGTTAGCACTCCCTGAGTCCCTTCCACCAGTTCACTATTGAATAAAGTCAATGAAAGACTCTACCACGCTGATTTCTGTATCTTCAGTCTGCACACATTGAATCACTTGATACATTTGCCCCACCAGCCCCACTCACCCCTGCATCATCCCAGAGACCAGCAGCTTCCTTTACAGAGCCAAGATCAGCTTCCATTTGCAGAGATATGGGGGGTATCTCTTCCTTGGCACTGCCCCCTTATCCTAACTCTCTCTGTTGATTCGTCTGCAGCTGATAACTCTCCTAATCCATGTTGTCAATGGCACTGCTGGCAGGAGAGTGGCAGAATGGGCTAGAGCTCCTTGGCAGCACCCACCGATAGGCTGAAACAAAGGGGCAATAGCTCTGCAACCTATTTGAGCAGCAGCTGTGGTGCCCCGTGAATGTTGAGCCTGGCAGAAAGCGGGATGGGGGATAGGTTAACAGCAGGTATCTTTCTGAAGCCCATGCAGAGTGGACCCTAGCAACTGGCTATTGCTTATTATTGGCTCTTCAGTCTCTCTCTCCCCCCCCCCCGCTTTTGAAATTTTGTACTCCTAATAATTTTGTGCCCAGGACAACCACCTCTGCGGCCCAACCCACACGACATCACTGCCTGAGCATAGGGCAGGTTCCTATGATTTGCCAGGATGCCTAAATTAGCATAGTGTGGGAGGAGGGTGACTTCAACCCACACCTGATAAAAGGCTGGTGATCTGTCAAGCGGTTTCCTCTGCTCCATTTATCAGCATGAAAAATGTTCAGCTGGAGGTTCCCTTAATCTCATTTGAGCCCTAACCAACCATCACAAACATGCTGAACCTCTACAAAAACAACAATGACCAAAGGCCCTGTTCCTGCTGAACATCTTCCTTTGGGGACTCCTTGCACTGTTGATTGAGTATTGGTGATTCAGAAAGAGAAGATTCCACTTATTCCATGGCAGGGAAAAAGAATCTGGGTACAGGCCTCCCAGCTATTTCCATACATAGAATGCTTCTCATTCCTCCTTATTTTCTCTCCCTTCTTAGTTTGCAGAGGTAGAGGGAAATCATCCGGGGCTCAGTTTAACACCAAAGATGCAGAAAAGAGCCCTGAGCAACACCCACAAGCCAGCTGCTTTTGGAGAGAGAGATGGAGAATGGTGCTGTACCAAAGTACCGTTGCCTGTCCCTTTGTGCATGTTTCAGGATGAAATATTGTTCCGCTGAGAGAGATTGGAATGCCACTACCAACCCTGCTAAAGGCGTTCTCCTGCATTTTCTCTTTGTGAATTTTTTAGGTTCCATGCCAGTGTTCCTCACGGTGCATTCTTTGATGCTTAATTCTGTGGGTGCAGGGGGGGGGGGAAGAAAGAGAAGAGTTCCTTTCTAAAATAAGAGGCTTTCTAAATTGCTCCCACTGCTTAACATCAGGCGTGCCATTGACTTGATCCAAGAAGATGGCTTTTCTACCGTTGTTGTTAGCTTTATCCAGTAGCAGAGGTCCAGTGGTCCAGGGTTAAAGACCTGTTACTATTTCTGCAGCAGTGCCCCAGTCTCCAGAAACCCAGAGCTACCCAATCAGCACAAAAGGACAGCTTTTTAGCAACTGAGAAAATCTCTTCTCAATCTTTGTTTGATTGCAGCCCATCGGAGTGAAAGCAGTTGCGTCACCCAATGAGGAATAGCTCTTGGAGTCACTCTGGACAAGGTGTGCAGGAAGAACTCTGAGGCGGATTAGTTCTGTATGCTTCAGAACTAAACATTTAGGAACCCACAAAACACAAGGTGCTTCAGGATCAAGAGAATGTTGTGCAAGTTCTTATACGTACAATGGAACTTTAAGGACAACACAACTCAAGACATTGAAAGAAGATATTAGAACACTCCAAATCATTTGCAAGTGTACATGCACAGAAATCAGTAGATCCAACTGAAAGGCAACACATTGATCATTGCAATGCATGCTTAATTGCAATTATTGTATAATTATAAAGTTATTGTATAATCTTGGAAGGTTGTATAATCTTAGAAGGGGTGTGGCTGTGAGGGTATGTGGCTGTTACTGCTGTAAAGGAATCATTTGCCACTACAGTACTATCCAGTAGGGGACGCTATGGTAGTGAGACTGCCATTTTGAATAGCTCCACCCCTCAGGAAGGGGATTGGCTGATGCTAATTTCTATCTAGTGCAAATATTTTGGTGGAGCCCTCTGTTCACTTAGGTGTTTCTTACATTCTGATGGCGCTTAATCTTTTCTTCCTCCTGAACACTACTCACAGCCAGGCCTCATCACAGTTTGTTGTCCTTCACCTGCTCAAATATGTCTTCCATCAACCACCTCAGTCCTGCTCAGATGTTATGGTCAAACAGGGAATGGCAATGTGTGTAGAGGATGGGGGGGGGATGTGCCACCTACCCACTCCACCTTCTTGTTTTTTAAATTTACATTTGTTAATTATTGCATTTCCTCCAAGGAATTCAAGGTCTTGTGCATGGCTCTCCCCCTCAACCATTTTATCCTCCCAACCGCCCTGCAAGGGAGGAACGGACGACTAAGAGACAGTGACCGGCCCAAGCTCACTAGCAAGCTTCGTGGCTGAGTTTGAATTCAAACCCTGGTCTTTGTGGTCATAGCTTGAAGCCCTAACACACTAGATCACGCCAATGTTGAGCAGGAAGGTCTGAACAGGCTTCTAGGCCCATTTGGCTGCTCTGCCAGTGTTCCTGATCATAAACCTGATCAAGCAAGTGAAGAATTCAAAGGACGTCACATGCATAATCTGAGTACAGCACACAACAGTCCTCTAAGGCAGACCAGTATTGTTATTAGCAGTAGTATTGTTAAATATAGACTGCAATCCTATTTCCTTTTGCTTGGGATCACAATGGGAAGTAATTTTTGTGTAGACATGCATAGTATTGAACTATCGGATGCAGTAATGCTTTTGAGGGCCAGTTGCTGGAAACCTCAGAACCAGGGCTGTCTTAAGAATACACAGCACTGGGGTGCAAAGATCCACCCAGTACACCCCGCCCCCCGGTTGCCCAGTCCCAGGCATGCAGGAGGTCGGAGCCAGCTGGCCGCCTCAGCATCCCGCTGGCTTGGTTGCCACCGAACTCATGGCGCAGAAGAGTCCACCGCGGTGCTCCAACCGATGGGTGGGCTCTTCCCTGGACTCAACTCTCAGGCCCCGGACTCTTGGCCTGGTGCCACTGAGAGCCCAGCGCCCGGGTGCCCCGCACCCTTAGTGCCTATGGGTAAGACGGCCCTGCTCAGGACAAGAGAGTCCTGTTGTACTCAAATCCAGCTTGCAGGTATCCCACAGGCATCTTGTTGGTCACTGTGAGAACAGGATGCTGGCCTAGGAGCATAGCTGTCAATGTTTTCCTTTTTTCAAGGGAAATTCCCTTATTCTGAATAGGATTCCTCGCAAGAAAAGGGAAACGTTGACAGCTATTCCTTGGAGGGCCATTGGCCTGATCTAGCAGGCTTTTCTCACATTTGTAACCGTTAGGGCTGTATAGGCAATGTTATTCCTACTCAGAGTAGACGCACTGGAGCTGATGACTTGTCTTAGGTTCATTGATTTCAATTGTTTCACTCTCAGAACATATTTGGATGCCACCCATTGCTTGGAAGTCCCCATCATAGCAACGTAAAAACAGTCTTGCATTAAACAGCCTTAGAAAGGAATATTTGCCAAAGCTGACATAATAGTTTTTAATAATAGTCGTAAAAATAATAACAGCAGCAAACTTTATGATAATGATCGCGATGATAAAAGCTAAGGCTAACAAACAGCACCATCAGAGCAACAGAACCTCTGCTGTTTTCAGAGTGAATGCTGGCAATTGAGTAATTCTTAGCAACCTGGATGTTTTTTTTAAAAAAATAATTGCTGCTCCAATTTACCTTTCTTTTTCTGTTGAAAAAAATAAAATAAAGTACAAGTTTATAGGCTGTTCCAGTTGCTGCTGGCGTGACTTCAAAACCTCGCGGGCTTCTTTTGTACTCTTTCAGCATCTGCCTGGCTATGTTCGCTTTTCCCTTCGGTGAACTCTGCAAAAAAGCAGCAGCAGCAGCAAAGATTAAAGAAAGCTCAGATAATTTCTGCCCAGTGGGGTGCATTTGGTGAAAGCACTGGTGTGCTTCCCGCCCCCAGATGTCTCATACAAATGAAATTGCTACAGGGGAAATGCAGGCCTCTCCTGGGATGAGGTGATGCCCCCTTTTTTTTGCAACTGAGACAGTTATAGGCCAGGTGAGGGCTGACAAAAGTTCTCTGAGAGGTTTTATTTTCCCCTTTCCATGCCAGTGGGTGTTTCTCATAGTAAACATGTACAGTGTGAGGTATAGGATGGAGAAGGGTGCTCAGCAAATCAGGACTTGCTGATACCGCCTCTGAAGAAGAGCTGTTGAATGCCACGGAGAGCTCCTGTACAACCAAGGACCTGGAGGACTGCTCCTTACTCCCAAGAACTGTCCCATCTCATGGATGTTGCACCTAGGTGATAATTCCTCCAACCACAAGCTTCCCCTTTATCCCCAGTTCTCTCCATTAACCTCCCATAGCCCTCAAAACTAAGTTCAAGGTGCTGGTTTTAGTGTATAAAGTCCCATGCCACTTGGGACCAGGATACTTGAAAAGTCACCCCATCCCTCATACACCCCAACCACCCCTGCAATCTATAGGTGAGGGTCTCCTGCAGATGCCAATATAGCAAGATGTCTGTTCTGCACAATATCAGAATTGGATATTTCGTGCAGTGGTGCTTAGCTATTGCAATTCTCTCACATTGAATATTAGACAGGCTCTGTATCTGTTGTGTTTTCAGTGCCTACTAAACATCTTCCTCTCCAAAAAGCCTTTTAAAATTGAGATCTTTCCTAGCCCGGATCTGTATATTGGAGTTGTTTTTAGATGTTTAAAGGTAAAGGCAAAGGGACCCCTGACCGTTGGGTCCAGTTGCGGACGACTCTGGGGTTGCGGCGCTCATCTCGCTTTATTGGCCGAGGGAGTCGGCGTACAGCTTCCGGGTCATGTGGCCAGCATGACTAAGCCACTTCTGGGGAACCAGAGCAGCGCACGGAAACGCCGTTTACCTTCCCGCCGGAGTAGTACCTATTTATCTACTTGCACTTTGACGTGCTTTCGAACTGCTAGGTTGGCAGGAGCTGAGACTGAACAACGGGAGCTCACCTTGTCGCAGGGATTCGAACCACCGACCTTCTGATCGGCAAGCCCTAGGCTCTGTGGTTTAACCCACAGTGCCACCCGCTGTTTAGAGATGCTTTAATGTTGTATCGGGACGCGGGTGGCGCTGTGGGTAAAACCTCAGTGCCTAGGGCTTGCCGATCGCATGGTCGGCAGTTCGAATCCCCGCGGCGGGTGAGCTCCCGTCTTTCGGTCCCAGCTCCTGCCCACCTAGCAGTTCGAAAGCACGTCAAAGTGCAAGTAGATAAATAGGTACCGCTTTATAGCGGGAAGGTAAATGGTGTTTCCGTGTGCTGCACTGGTGCTGGCTCCCCAGAGCAGCTTCGTCACGCTGGCCACGTGACCCGGAAGTGTCTCCGGACAGCGCTGGCCCCTGGCCTCTTAAGTGAGATGGGCGCACAACCCTAGAGTCGGACACGACTGGCCCGTACGGGCAGGGGTACCTTTACCTTTAATGTTGTATCATTTGTGTGTTTGTTTCCCTGGGCTCCTAATGATGATGATGGTGGTGGTACAGTAGCAGCAGCAGCAACAATAACAACAGGGAGTAGTCCACTGTGCTTGGGTCTTGCTTGTGGGTTTCCCGCAGGCTTCGGGTTGGCCACTATGAGAACTGGATGCTGGACTAGACGGACCATTGGTCTGATCCAGCAACCTATTCTTACATTACATTCCCACATTACAATGGGCTTCCATAACCACTAAGCACCACTAGTTAAGTATTTAAAGGCAATTAGCTGGTGCTGCCCAGAATTACTTTTAAAGGAATAGCAAAGCTTGATTTGTTGACATTCTCATATATATTCATACTGGTGGGTCTTAGAAGAAGGCAGAGGTAATAGGGACTGGAAAATGTATTGCCTTTGGACGGCAGCTAGCCAGTGCCTTTTGATTAGTGCTGGTCAGCAGTCAACCCCACGATGTCACCCCCTGATATATCATATGAACTGTCACACATGCTTATTTGCAGTCTCTGGTGCTTCCCTCCCCCCCCCCCTGCAGTGGGAGGGGCCCCTGTGTCTAAATTTTGGAACTGGGCCCGGGAAACCTTTTGGGATTTAGGAATTGAGTCTTATCCAGGTGTGCCTGGAGCTGGAGGGCAGCCACCTGCTCAGAGCAACCGTAACTTCCTTCTTTCATCTGAAGGGGCCTTTTTAATTGGTGTAAAGAGAAGGGCTGAGCCTGAGTGTATCGGAGGCTTCCTCATGGTGAAATCAGTAGCAGGGAGAGAAAGGCGCTTTGTATGGCTCAGAGACGTCCTCCTGCTTCCCATGTGCGGACAACATTTGTATTTATCTTCCAAGCTGGTTTGAGATTTAGTACTTTTTCTTTCTTAAAAAAAATCTTACTTCTTTTACTTACTTATTTACAATGCAGTCCTATGACGTGTATAAGTTATGTGTCTGCTCAGAAGTAAACTCTGTTAAGTTTGATGGGGCTAATTGCTAGGAAATGAAATATATATTAAAAAAATTGTCCAGTAGCACCTTAAGAGACCAACTAAGTTTGCTCTTGGTGTAAGCGTTCGTGTGCATGCACACTTCTTCAGATCTGCTAGGAAATGGTTATCAATAAATTGCAGCCCTTCAGCAGGTGTCAAAAGAATAAAACAACAGCGAACATTTAAAAGAAAAGATAAAAAGAGAATCCAAGCCTAGAATCTGCAGTTTCTGTACATTAACTGAACAATAAGACAACAGTGAAAAGTTAGGTATTGCTCTTAGAAGACTTAGTGCTGATCCACACAATACATTTAAAGCACATGTGAGGCATATTTAAAGGACCTGGCTCCTCCCACTCACCAAAGAATCATAGGAACTGTTGTTGTTAATGGTGCTGGGAATCCTAGCTCCATGAGGGGGGGAACTATGGTTCCCAGGATACTTTAGTGAAAGTCATGTGTTTTAAAGGTGCCTTGAATGTGCTTTAAATTAAACCTGTTATTATTATTTATTAAATTATTATACCACCCTTCATCTGAAGATCACAGGACAGTTCGCAACATAAAAATGCAAAATGAGAAATACAAAAAGACATAATAAAACAGATACAACCCAATGTCCACCAGCCCACAAACACATTTTAAAGGCCATAGAATGTTAATCTATAATCAGCCAAGGGCTTGGTCATAGAGAAATGTTTTTGCTTGGCACCTAAAGATATGTAATGAAGGCCCCATGTGAGCCTCCCTGGGACCTGTTCTCATGTTCCCACCCACCCTTTCAGTTACGCTAACCAAAACATAAGCATCCCTCAAAAATTTCACTTGTCTGAATTTTGCAGTGTACAGTGGTACCTCAGGTTAAGTACTTAATTCGTTCCGGAGGTCCGTTCTAACCTGAAACTGTTCTTAACCTGAAGCACCACTTTAGCTAATGGGGCCTCCCACTGCCCCAACGCCGCCGGAGCACGATTTCTGTTCTCATCCTGAAGCAAAGTTCTTAACCTGAGGTACTATTTCTGGGTTAGTGGAGTCTGTAACCTGAAGCGTATGTAACCTGAAGCGTATGTAACCCGAGGTACCACTGTACTGAAAAACTGCATGTACAAGGGTGAAGTGTGTATAAAAAGGTACACAGTGAAAATGGTATTGAAAGTGTGTTATATCAGGCAAAGTTGCTTTGCAAAAATATTTATGTTATGCAAAATCACATACATATGTAAATATATTAGAAGAAATTTGCTCTTAAATGCTGGTGTATTTTCATTAGGACTTTGAAAATATCGCAAACTGATGTGGTAATATGCAAAATATTGGTAAAATGAGAACCTGAAATGTAAAATGTGATCTTCAGATGAAGCTGATCAGCCTTCTTACCTATAGACAGTACGGGGGCGGCCCTGCCAGTCAGCTTCCTTCTCCTTAGTCTCAGTATTGCCCCTTGTAGAACTCTGTAATGGGAGGAGGAAGATGGGGACACGGGATCACAGCTAGGCTGTCACATTCACTGGGATTAATTTCTGAGTAGTCATGTACTGTGATTTTTCTCCAGTGTGCTTCTTCAGGATGGGAGTCAATGGCCTAGAATGGCTTCAAGAAATAAACAAGCACAGAACAGATTATTCGTGCCTGGCTTTTCCTAGAAACAGGGAAACATTCCTAAAAGCACATTGCAACTCACACAATGTTTATCATTGTGGCTACTGGCTCCGCACGTTCTGTGCCCTCTGGGTGTTACAGGAGTGCCTACTTTGATTGGATCTCATGTTTGGCTGTGCCCTGTGAGAGGCTGTAAATCAGGGTCTATTGCTGCTTGTGACATATTCTAGCGGCATTATCAATGGCTACTAGCCACAATGGCTATTTTATTCCTCCACTGTTGGAGGCTGTATGCCTCTGAATTCCAGCTGCTGAGGATCACAAGTGGCAATTGGGCTGCTGTGCTCAAGTCCTGTTTTCAGGCTCCTCGTTGGGGCATCTGGCTGTCCGCTTTTGAGAACAGGATGTACATAGAGTTGAAGGAAGAATTTGGAAAAAGGGCCGCTCTTTCTCACTTCCTCTTTCATCTCTATGTGCTTTTCCAGGCTCAGACTGGAACACTGTTACTCACCGCAGGTGTCACCAGCAGGTACCGGTATGTCCGCTGGGCTCTTTGCACAGGGTTCCTACTTCAGCCTCTTGCAGAGATGATTCCTTGTCACACATTATGTTGCAAGTCTGTGGACACCAGCAAGGAACTGTGGCTTATTATGAGATAAGGGCAGGAAACCTTTTTGAGCCTGGGGGCCTCTTTCTCTTCTGGGCAACTTCCAGAGGGCCACATACCAGTGGTGGACAGGGTCAGAGGCAAATACAGTGGTACCTCAGGTTACACACGCTTCAGGTTACATACACTTCAGGTTACAGACTCTGCTAACCCAGAAATAATACCTCGAGTTAAGAACTTTGCTTCAGGATGAGAACAGAAATATTGCTCCGGCAGCGCGGCAGCAGCAGGAGGCCCCATTAGCTAAAGTGGTGCTTCAGGTTAAGAACGGACCTCCCGAATGAATTAAGTACTTAACCCGAGGTACCACTGTACCAACAGAGCAACAATGTGTTCATTGCACATGGCATATTTAGGAGTGCAGACAACTTCAGGAGTACAGTGGTACCTCGGGTTATGTTATCTTCGGGTAATGCAATTTCGAGTTACGAACACGGCAAACCCGGAAGTGTATACTTCCGGGTTTCACCGTGCGTGTGTGCGCAGAAGCGCGCTATCTCACCGCGCACATGCGCAGAAGCAGCACCTCCGGATACAGACTTTTCAGGGTAAGTACAGACCCCAGGGACAAATTAAGTTAGTATCCGGAGGGTCCACTGTACAGCTGAACAACGTAATATGTGAATTGACCCATAGGCTCTGATACTGGACATGGGTTCTAGGGAAGAGCCATGCTTGAAATCAAAGCCTTCCCTTTAAACTGCGGTGAGAAAGGGCTACCTTTTCAAAGGATATTTGTGCACAGAAAGTTGGCTTATACCTTTTGAGACTTGCTTGGTGCTCCAGCTTTTGCGGAGTGGGAAAACGCCCCTCTCCCCACCACTGATTCTTTCAAAGAGGTATAGAAAAAAGAAGTTCAGACATAATAATATATCAAAATGTGAGATGCCTTCTCATTAGGAAATCTGTGTAAGTGCATTAGTGGCCAACCACAGCCAGAACCAAGAGCCGGCAAAAGGATCCCAGCGTGGGCCTGGCTCTAATCTGGATCAGATGGCACCAGCCTCCAACATATGCACTGAATTTGTAAGGTTGCGTTTGGAAGGTGGATGAGGTGATGGTGTGTGTGTGTGTGTGTGTGTGTGTGTGTGTGTGTGTTAGGTAGTGCTCTTTCACACAGAAGCGGGCCAGACTTGGCTGAGTCCCTCAAAGAGAGAGTGAGGGAGTCAGCGGGGTAGGTTGCCTCTGTCAATGGCAGATTGATCTCGGTAGGGTGACCAAGTTAAATAATTTTAGATAAATAAACACGGGAGGAAGGCAGGCCCATCTCATTTTACCAAAGAGCTGCTCCACGACCTGGTGGAGGAGAGTTTGGGAACAGGAACTTTGCTGGGGGTTGTGGCTCATTTATAGTCAGATTCTATTCTTTGTAAGAGCCTTTGATGGTACTTCTGCATGAGAAAGGGAACATTCTGCACTAAGGATGGATGAACCTGTCAAATTCAGTTTCCCTCGCTCATTTTTCCAAACTTAACTTCAGTTCTCCAAATTTCTACATCAGTTTGTGACTTTTTTTTAAACAAGTCCTTGTGGAAATTTCCCTCCTCCTCCTCCTTCCTAGCTGTTACTTCACCCAAAGGTCCCAAGGCAGGTTAAAACCAGGGCACCCACACAAAGTTGTTGATTGTTCCAGCCACACTGCGGTGTTGCTGCAGCACTGCAACAATCTCCATGCCACCTGCAGCCTCCATCACGCAACACAGAGTGCTGTGCTGCCCACAGACAGCTAGAGAGGTACCAGAACGCACAAAAGAGGTGCTGGAACTCACCAAAGAGTTCTGGTGAGTTCCAGCTGAAAAAAAGCCTTGGATAAAACATTAAACCACAATATTAAAACAGTTTAAAACAACACGATCAAAGGAATAAGGTGGGACCTAAATATAAACACTTTGGGTGCCAAAAACCAGACGGTCTGTATTTTGGTGCATATTTCTCCTAATTTACACATTTTGTATGTATTTTTGTCTAATAGACAAGCTTTGGTAAATCCATTTTTACCCTAACATAATGTGTGCTTATATGTTATTTTCATGAATATATGAACTTTAGTGCACAATTTCCTCTAGCATATCCATATCTGTATACATTATTTTGTTGGAGCAAAGCTGAAAAATTGAACAACTGAAAAACTGGAGAAGTGCCAATTTCGAAGGTTGGTTTGCATATTGTTCCAAAAAGTGCCAAATTAGGTTGGTTCATCTTTAAATGCAAACCAAACTGAACTTTTCTCCCCCACCTCTATTCTCACTCCCCAGGAAAAAACCACACCATCACATTTTTACATCATTTGAACCTGCTTTCAAGTTAGAACATAGTCATGTGGTTAGTAGCCTTCTCCATGAATTTGTATAATCCTCTTTTGAAGCCATCCAAGTTGGTAGCCATCATTGCCTCCTGTGGGAGAAAGTTCCATAGTGTAATTTTGTGTCATTTCTTTCATTTGTTCTCAACATTCAGCTTCATTGAATGTCCACAAGCTCTAGTGCTGGAGAATGGGGAACCCTAAATGTGACCCACAATACCTTTCTATCTCGCCCTCTGCACTCTGCCCAGGCCATAAGCCCTCTCTCTAAGCCATGGGTAGGCAACCTAAGGCCCGGGGCCCGGATCAGGCCCAATCGCCTTTTCAATCCGGCTTGTGGACAGTCCGGGAATCAGCGTGTTTTTACATGAGTAGAATGTGTCCTTTTATTTAAAATGCATCTGGGTTATTTGTGGGGTCTGCCTGGTGTTTTTACATGAGTAGAATGTATGCTTTGATTTAAAATGCACCTCTGGATTATTTGTGGGGCATAGGAATTCGTTCATCCCCCTTCCAAAACAAATAGTCCAGCCCCCCCACAAGGTCTGAAGGACAGTGGACCAGCCCCCTGCTGAAAAAGTGTGCTGACCCCTGCTCTAAGCCCTACTTTGCACCCTCCTTGATTGGCTGAAATGTGACTTTAAATGCCAATTATGCTCGTTCCTTTCATAGATGGGGAATAGAGAGAGCTTTGCCTACTGTAAAAAAAGGGTCAAATTCACATCTGTTGCTCCACCCACTTTTGCTTCTGGTCCCACCCACTGCTAACATGCATTCCCCAGAAGGTTGTTCCGAAAGGAATGTGGACCTCGGGCTGGAAAGGCTTCCCCGCCCCTCGCTCCAAGAGGTGTTTCCCACACTCGAATCCTTGGCGGTGGCAATTAAGGCCGCTCCTTGCTGCTCTTGGGTTTCCTTGTCTGGACGGATTCTGCCTGGGCTCCCCCCAGCTCTCGCTGTACAGTTTGAAAGTAAAACCACAGGGCAGCCCAGCAGGGTTAGGAGGCTGGCAGAATGGCTGCGGTGACCTTCAGATCAAAGGAGAATGTTTCAGGCCTGGCCTCAAGTGCGGAGCGAGCTTGTTTTAACTTAACAATGTCAAAATACTGGCAAACAGAAGACATGAAGAAAGGTCTCCTACGGCTCCCAGGCGGTAGCAGGGATCCTTTCCTGCTGTCTGTCCATACGGTTCTTGCCTGTGAACAGAGAGGAGAGGAGGAAGGAGGGGAGGAGAGGAAAGTGTAGGAAGAAATCAAAGCAAAAAGGGATTTGAGTCGCTGGTGGCAAAGTGGGGCAGAAACTAGGACTGTAAAAGAAAGAAGGACGGCCACGCATTTAATGCACTATGATGCCTCTTTAAACAGTCATAGCTTTCCCCAAAGAATTCTGGGAACTATAGTTCATTCAGGGTGCTGAGAATCTTTAGGAGGCCCCTATTCCCTCACAGAGCTACAGTTTCCAGAGTCTCATGGGAAGGATTGATTGTTAAAGCATCCTGGGAATAGTAGCTCTGTGAGGGAATAGGGCGTCTCTTAACAACTGTCGGCACCCTTAACAAACTACAGTTCCCAGCAGTCCTTGAAGGGGAAGTCATGAATGATTAAAGTGGTCTAAGAGTGCTTTATATGTCAGGTGCAGTGGTGGCCCAAGCCAGTTCTTTGGAGTCCTCATGGAACCTCCAAATGCAGCCACCAATGTTTGCTTGACAAAATTCAGCAACCTGGTCCCTCCCTGGTCACAGAAAAGCATTCCTGATGTAGCTGGGGAAGTGGTGCCAATAGGCCATAGGAATTGCCATACGTCTGGAATTTCCCGGACGTATCAGGAATACTGCTGTTGGCAGCAGTGTCCAGGTGAAATATCCAGGAAAATTTGGACATATGGCAACTCAGCAGGGAGGAGGATGGGGACAAAACTCTGATGAGTCAGTTCTGCCTGCCATTGACTCTGGCGCCACCTACTGTTGGTGTCCCTGCCTTCCACTCCACCACTGGGAAAGGGCTTTGGGCAGCCTTCAGTAGCGCCCTTGCCTTCTGGCTAGGAAAGGCCAGAGCTCAGAAGGAGAGCATCACGGGGAAGGTTCCAGGTCCAATCTGTAGCATCCCAAGTTACAGGACCATAGGGGAGTGGGAGGGTTGGGAATGGCCTCTTTTTCCCTCTTGGAGAACTGCAGCCAGAGATGAAACAACAGCATGACTTCTAATAACTCTCTGCAGCCTTAACAAAGGATTAACAAAGGCGGTTGGAGGTTGGATGGCGGCTAACAGATTGAGGTTGAATCTTGACAAGACAGAAGTACTGTTTTGGGGGGGGGACAGGAGACGGGCGGGTATGGAGGACTCCCTGGTCCTCAGTGAGGTAACTGTGCCCCTGAAGGACCAGGTGAACAGCCTGGGAGTCATTTTGGACTCACAGCTGCCCATGGAGGCGCAGGTCAATTCTGTGTCCAGGGCAGCTGTTTACCAGCTCCATCTGGTACGCAGGCTGAGACCCTACCTGCCTGCGGACTGTCTCGCCAGAGTGGTGCATGCTCTGGTTATCTCTCGCTTGGACTACTGCAATGCGATCTATGTGGGGCTACCTTTGAAGGTGACCCGGAAACTACAACTAATCCAGAATGTGGCAGCTAGACTGGTGACTGGGAGCGGCCACCAATACCACAAAACACTGGTTTTCAAATACCTACATTGGTTCCCAGTACGTTTCCGAGCACAATTCAAAGTGTTGGTGCTGACCTTTAAAGCCCTAAATGGCCTCAGTCCAGTATACCTGAAGGAGCGTCTCCACCCCCATCATCCAGCCCGGACACTGAGGTCCAGCGCCGAGGGCCTTCTGACGGTTCCCTCATTGCGAGAAGCCAAGTTACAGGGAACCGGGCAGAGGGCCTTCTCGGTTGTGGCACCCGCCCTGTGGAATGCCCTCCCACCAGATGTCAAAGAGAACAACAACTACCAGACTTTTAGAAGACATCTGAAGGCAGCCCTGTTTAGGGAAGCTTTTAATGTTTGATGCATTACTGTATTTTAACATTTTGTTGGAAGCCGCCCAGGGTGGCTGGGGAAGCTCAGCCAGATGGGCGGGGTATAAATAATAAATTATTATTATTATTATTATTATTATTATTATAGCACCCAGAATTCTGTTTAAAGTGGTGTCATAACATTTTAAATGTATGGTGCAAAGGTGGCCTTAGTGAGAATGAACGGGCCCTACTTTCCTTAGATGGTGTCTCCTGGGACTTAACAGGGTATGGGCAGAGGGAGTTGCGTGCCCATGTTCTTCTGGTCCAGCTTATTCTGCAGCAGAAGTGGGAAACCTCTGGCCTGGGGTGGGGCAATTCAGCCCTCCAAGGCCCTATATTCAGCACTTCGCACTCCCCATGCCTCTCACCAGACACACCCTCTTTCCCAAGCCAGGTCCCCTTACAGGTCTAGCTTTGCACCCTCTTTGAGTGTTGTTGCTTGGCTGGAATGCATCCCTCAGATGTGATTGTGCTGGTCTGGAAGGAGGACAGAGAGGGGTGCAAGTGTCTAGTAGAAACTAGCTTACTCTGCAAAAGGTAAAACTCACATTTGTTGCTCTGCCCAGTTTTACCTCTGACCTGCAGAATGTTGCCCAGAAGGGCATCTTGCTCTTGGGCTGAACAAGATTCCCCAGCCCTGTTCTATGGGATCATCCAGGCCCCCCCCCCCCCCATTGCTTCCAGTCTGTTTAACTGAGGGCCAGTTTGTCGGAAATCCTTGCATGCTTCCATGTTAAAAGATACCGAGCTGAGTCCCATTTTATAAGGAGGCACAACCCCCTGCCCCTGCTGCTGGAAATGGCTCAAAGTAGCAGTTTGCTTGTCGAGAAGCATTTCCAGGAAGGGCATGGAGGGAATTGTTCCTCCTGCATCCCTATCCGCAATGCAATAAACCTCACCCGCTAACACAGCACAAGGCTGGTAATGTTTTAATAGCTAATTACAGGCAGGAGACACATCGGACACGGCTAAGAACATTTTACTACCTGCACCTGATAGATTTATTAGGAAAATAGCTGCTTTCCCAAGCAAAGCTAATTCACCTCATCCCTGGAATGGAGCCATTTCAAGGGTCTCCTGTGATAAATTTAATATTGACAGTGGTACTTAGGTGGAGCGTGTCTCTCCGCTGGCTTTGCTCAACGTCGCTTCTCTAGATGAGTAAGATGTGCTCACAATTGTGCTGCAAACAGTTCCATATATAAAGAATTTCTTTCTTTCTTTCTTTCTTTCTTTCTTTCTTTCTTTCTTTCTTTCTTTCTTTCTTTCTCACTTACATTTTCTGTCTTTCTTTGCTACCCCTTCATTCCTTCCTTCCGCTTTTCTTTACCCTCCCTACCTCCCTTCTCCCATTCTCCTCTTCCTTTTTTTCCTTTTCCTTCCATCCCTTTTCTTTTTGCTCTTCCTCCCTTCCCTTCCCTTCTTAACTATTTCATTTGCTCCTTCCCTTTTGCTCCCCTTCCTTTCCACCAGCAGTGGCGGCCCCAGGAAAAACAAACATGGGGACTGAGTAGCACAGAAGGGCAAAGTATATTTCTCGTTAGCTTCTCCTGCCAGTGGACCTCTGTCTCAAAGACACTTGTATCTCTCTAAAGCAGTGAAATGTCCCTTATGCATTTCTTTGTGGGAGGGGATGTCTTGGACAAGAGGAGGTCTCGCCTTTGTAAAACTGTCATTTTGCTAAATCCAGACCATAATCTCTCTCCCTGCCCCTGTTTGTTTTTCCAACAGCAACTCATCCTTGGAAACCTTGCCAATTTGAATCACGAGTCAGGCTGCCTCTTTGGGATCTGCCACTGAGAACAGCTGGTGACTGGACAAGCCAAAGTTCGAAAGAGCTGTGAGGTGGAATCAGAGCGGCCATTAGCTTTTATAGCAAGGTGGGGTCAATTATGGGTTGATAATTAGGTGCTGACAGTAAAAGGAGAGCTCTAATGAAAATCAATTACAGGACAAAATGGGGTGTGCTTTGGGGACCACCACCCCATCAAAATAAGAAGGTGAAGGAAAATAACCAAAAGTACTTTGAACAAGCTTCTTTATAAAATTACAGACTGCTGACTGCAAACCTCAACCCTTTGGACTCTCAAAGAAAGGGCCAGGGAATATTTTGCTGCCCTATACATTGCAGATGTCCCTTTGTAGACCACCTATGTATTTTGGTAGCTGCTGCTAAATCACTGCTTAGCAATGACTTTTGAAAAATGTTTCTAACTTGAGTTGCTAGTATTTTTGCCCCTCAGGACTGTGATTCATAAGAACAGCCCTGCTTCATCAAGCAATGGCCCCATCTAGTCCAGCATCCTGCTCCCGGTGGCCAATGAGATGCCTTTTGTGGGAAACCTGCAAGCAAGAGCCGAGCACAAAACCCTCTCCTCCTGTTGTTTCCACCAGCTGGGATTCAGAAGCACTGTGTCATAGAGTGGTTTGATGCAGAAGGAGGAGCAAGCCAGGGAACCACAAGGGAGGAAGGCTCAGAGCCCAGGGAGTAGTAGTGGGACAACGATAAATGGTCCAGAGGGAGAAGACTAGGAAGAGGAGATGTCAGAAGCTGAAGAGGTAACAGGGCTTAGTAAGCTGGGAGAATCTGTGGCAGAAAGAAGTCCAGAATCAGAGCCAGAAGCTGAAGCAGGAGAGTGGGAGGAGGGAGGCCAAGAGGCAGAAATGAGTCAGGCTGGTGAAGAGTCACAGGCGTCTCCCCCTCCTGCTGCGACAAGCTCCCCTCTCCCCTTGTCTCCCAGAACCAGAAGAGGCATGAAAAGGGCAGAGGAGAAGTTGGCTGCATGCAGGCGTAGTCTCTGATTGCTTGGGGAAAGCCCTGGAGAGAAGGGGATTTAGATGGCTGTGAGCAGACAGGGTCTTTCTTGGCAACTGATTTTTGTTTATTTTGAAATTTGGGGGGGAAATACAATGATTAATATTGGATATATTTTTATGAATTGTATAAAAATTTAATCTAAATAAAAACACAGAGCAAAAAGAGAGAGAAGGAAAAAGAAAGAAAAAGAGAACTTCCAATTATTCATTTGTCAGTTTTATAGAGAATTATTCAACACATTCACTCTAAGATAACACCTAATAAATCTCCCCAGCATTATCTTGAATCCTCAAACCCACATATCATAAGTTCATTTTCTTTTTCATGAACAATGTCTATAAGAAGTTTCTAATCTTTAGTAAATGTTGACAATGATTTTTCTCTGATTAACCACATCAGTTTCGCCATCTCAACTAAGTCCAGTAATTTTAACAACCATTCCTCCACTGGAGGCTATAATCTTTCCATCTTTGTGCATATATTTTGAAATAAAGTTCCATAGTCTTTTTCTAATTGTATACCGTAAGTCCCAACAGGAAGAGCTCCGGCTTTAGTTGAAAATTGACCTTAAAAATCTCCTGTATCAGTGTCAGTGTTTCCAATATTGTTTAGCTTTTTTACACGTCCACCAAGCATGAAAAAAATGTCCCTTCTTGACACTTCCAGCAAGTATTTGGAATGTTTTTATACATTCTAAATAACCTATCAGGAGTTAAGTCCCAATGATACATCATTTTGTAATAAAATGTGTATTTTAACCCTTTAGTCAACATATGTTCCCACTGTTCCATCTGTTTATCATACCCATTTTTGCCCATTTAACTTGTTTTGTTGAAATTTTCTCAATAACATGTTCATTATCTGTACACAACTTAATTTAAAAATCTGTCTTTCTTGTTCTATACCAAATGTCTTTTTCTCCAACTTAAATCTCTCTGTTAGTTGTAGGTGGAAAAAAACAATTAAAGACTATAACCTTCCCTTGTTCCTTTTTTTAAATTTTACCGTCTCCCTAACTCCATTCTAATAGTGGAGTGCATGTTTTCTATGAAATGATTTTGAAATCTACATTAGCTTTGATCTTACCATACCACAAATATCCATGCCATCCAAATCTTAAATCATGATCTTCTAGTTCTCAGGGTCACCCATTCCTTCATCAACACTAAACAACAGTCTGCAAAGTACTATTTCAGGTCAGGTAAACCCAGTTCTTCCCTTTCCTTCGCATATTGAAATATTTTCATTTTGACTTGTGGTTTTTCTCCTTGCCATAGAAACTTAGATAAATCTTTTTGCCATTGTTTAAATGGTAAGTCATTAGTCAAAATAGGTAATGTTTGAAATAAAAACATCATTCTGGGGAAAAAACATTCATCTTTATCACTGAAATTCTACCTAATAATGACAGTTTTAATGTCTCTCATCTTTACATATCTTTTTAAGTTTCAGCCCGTTTCATAACATAATTATTTTGAAATAACGAGCAGTTCATATTTATCATAGTAACACCCAAGTATTTCATTTTTTTCCATTGTGAAACCCTGTTTTCTCCAAAACCTTCTGATCTTTTGTTGTCATATTCTTCTTTTATCTTCATTGTTATAATTCATTTTGTCTAATATCTCTAAGCAAAACTTCCAAGACCAGAATGAAAAGTAATGGGAACAATGGACACCCTTGCCTTGTCCTCTTCTGTATCTCACAGGTTTTAGTCAATTCTCCATTAACAATTATCTGTGCTGTCTGTAATGTGTAAATTGATTTTACCCATTTAATAAACAGTCCTGGAAACTGATTTTCATGGAGTAAGACCATTGGGAATGAACTGCTCTGTTCATTAGGCCTGACACTCAACCAAGTCTGTGGGGATCATGTTTTCACTAATAAAGAGTTAACTCCAACTTTAAACTGTGTGATTACTGACCAGCATGCTCCTGCGATACACTGCTGCCTCTGACTATGGAGGCAGACCATAGCCATTATGGCTAGTAGCTATTGATAACTTTGTCTTCCTCGATGCCTTTGTCCCGCCCTCTTTTAAAGCCATCCAAGTTGGTGGTTATCACTGCGTGCCGCAGGAGAAAGTTGCACAGGTTTACCATGTGCTGAGTGAAAAAGAAGTTTCTTTTATCTATCCTGATTCTTCCAACGCTCAGCTTCTTTAGATGACCATGAGCTGCAGTGTTTATAAGAAAGAAAGAGAAACTCCTGAGGGTCCCTAGACACACAATGTCTTGTGCATAGATGCATATACAGATGCGTATGTGAAATATACTCAGAGTCGAGAGTGGATTTCATGCTCTTTATTCAGCTCATAGTGGTGAGGAGGAATGAATGTCCCCTCAAAGTATCTGCTTTATATACATTATTTACACAATGGGCTGCACGTGATTGGCTAATTCCGGAATTCTCCTGTAGGCCAATAAGGTTGTGGATTCACTTCTATCTGGAGCTGGATTGGGTGGCTCCTGCCAACCAATCATACTGCTGCATTGTTCTAGGACCAATCAGACTACTGCATTCTGAATCCTATTCTAGGACCAATCAGACTGCTACATTTTGGATCCAATTGTTCTAGGACCAATCAGACTGCTGCAGTTTGGATCCTATTCAACTCAGTACATAACACCATGCAAGGTATTGTGCACATAACAGCCTGCCGTTCCACACACCAAAGCCATCAAAGTCACTTCTGGGCCGCCTGCCTCCCACATGAAACAGCTGAAGCCATCAACTTGGATGGTTTTAAAAGAGGATTGGACAAATACATGTAAGATAAGCCTATAAAGGGCCACACTAAACAATCATTGAAATGCACAGTCTTGGTCCCCCTCCACCCTTATTTCTTTTGTTTAAAATATGCTTGGGGCAGGAAGTCCCTGAATATTAGTTGCTGGAAACTGCAGGTGGGCAGAGTGCCGTTGCACTCACGTCCTGCTTGTGGTCTTCCCAATAGAGGCATCAGGGTGGTCACTGTGAGAACAGGATGCTGGACTAGATGGGCCATTGACCCAATCCAACAAGGCTCTTTATATGTTCTTATATTCATCAGGATACATAGCAAGCAAAAAGGGGTATTAAAAAATTATTCCCTCCAGCACCACGGCCCTAATGAAAAGTACCCCCTCCACACACACCATGGTGTACAAGAGGGGTTTCTTCTCCCACACTCCACCCCATTGTCTTTAAAAACAAAACAAAAAAACCAGTCCTCACATCCTATGTACAGTCCAGGAAGGAAGCTACCACAAATCTTTCCCATGCCTGTTTCTCCAGCCCTTCCCCTTTTAAAAAAGACCTGTGAAATCTGATCATGCATCTCATGTATTGTCTTGCTTGTCCCCACAGCAGAGCAGGGGGCTATGGCAGAACAAATGAATGCAACATTAGTAGCCAGACTATACCTTTCAGCAATGTTTAATAATGAAATTCAGAGTGTGATTCTCATGATCAAAACATGGGCATTTTGCATTGCTGCTATTTTTTTCATTATTCAAATGTTGGAGGTTATGCTATTTTGTGGGGGCCATTTAATAGAATCAAAGCTTTGGTGAGGATCTCAAAAATCACCCAGTCTCACCCCAATGCCAATTCATGGAATCTGCGGCTGCAACATCCCTGCTAGGTGGTCATCGATCTTAAAAACCTTGAAAGGAAAAGAGTTCATTACCATATGAAGCTGTCTGCTCCACTGATGGACCACCAGGCAGGTCTTCCAAATGTTGAGATCCCCTTTCACATAATTCAAACCTGTTAAATCAGGCCCTACCCTCTGGATTAGAGATGGAAGGATCTGTCAGTTTTGGTTTTCTCAGTTTCTTGTTTATTCTCGTTCAGTTCTCCGCATTTCTGCCACAAATTGTGATTTATTTTTGTTTTAAATCTCTATAAGATGAACCAGCACTTCAGTGCAAATTTCTAATGAACACATTTCTGTATGATGTTTAGACTAATATGTGTATTTTTGCAAGCAATTTTCCCCCTTAATAGAATGCATTTTTTGTATGCTATTTTCATGAATATATTCATTTTTATGCACACTTTACCCTAGCAGACACATTTTTCATAAACACTGCTTAGCTGGAATACTGCACTGCAAAATAGGTTTGCTTCTCCTATTGTTATGGAAAGTGCAAATTTAATATATTAACCTTTAAATGCAAATAGACTAGCATTCACTTGGGGAAGGTTTTTCAGCTCATGGGCCGCATCCTCTTCTGGGAAACCTTCTGAGGAGTGCATGTCACTGGTGGGTAGAGAAACAAATGCTAGGGTTGCCATGTTTTATAAAGTAAAATTCCTGACACCTACAAAGTTGTTGAGCTTTTTTAGGGAAACCTAACCCAAAGATAGTGATTTTACCTCTGGATTTCCCCATGACACCATTTTTGCACCCGAAAGCCAGGACATGTCAGGAATTTTCCTGATGTATGGCAAGCCTAACAAATGCACATGTGGTCTGGGGAGAGGAGAGGTGGCCTGGGCAGAGTTCTAAGGCTGATGCATGGAGGTCTGGAGGGCTCAATTTGGCTCCTGGGCTGGAGGTTCCTCACCCCTGTTCTGCATCACGTGGATTTTGCTTACAGAAAGCAGGGTGGCACATTTTGATGAGGACTTGTGTGTATGTTTTAAAGTTGTGTTTCATTGAAAAGGAAGCCCTCCTTAATCTTATTTGGGAGGTTTCGTAAGAGAGTGGTGAGAGAAGGAAGAGAAGAAGGCAGTGTTCATCTCCTGGATAAATCAAGAGGTCTCTGGCGAGGTGGAAAGTGCATAAACAGAACCTGGGGGCCGGCTTGTCTGGAAGCTTAAACTGATTACAGCGGCTTGTCTTTCCCTCCCGGATCCCTGCTGGCTTTGAGTACAAGAGCAACTGATGTTTGGATCTGAGGGGGCAGACAAGGAGGCTCTGCCTTCCTTAGTCTTCCACATTCCCTGAAATGTCACCTTTATCCCACTAAATAATACAAACCATTGTCTACCATTGCCCCCCACCCTCCTCAAGTCATCTCAAACAGTTCTTAGTGTCAGCTGTAATTCCGTCAGTAACTCAATCTGGGATGGTCTCGGCCTTTACCAAACGTTGCCCGGACTTTTGTTTCCAGCTCTCCCTCCCTGCCTCACCTAATTCCAGACTCATAATTTCTTTGGAAGCCGAAGCGATTCTTTTAAATAATAGCGTGTTTTTCCATTTTTATTTCGTAAAGGCTAGGTTTTAGGAAGGGACTCGTTTTGCACTGAATTTGAAAATAGTTTGGCCCTTTCAAAATCCTCATGTTTGCAGATCTGGGTTGTATCCAACAATTTTTTACTTGGGAGTCAAGCTTTTGAGGTGACTGAACCAAGTTAGGCCACATTCATACCATATTTTTAAAGTGCTGAGATACCACTTTAAGCAAACATGACTTCCCCCAAAGAATTCTGGGAGCTGTAGTTTGTAAGGGGTGCTGAGAGTTTTTAGGAAAGTCCCATTCCCCTTACACAGCTATAATTTCTAGATTTGTTAAGCAATCAATCCCTCTTCACAGGGAATTTTGGGAACTGTAGCTCTGTGAGGGGGACAGGGACCTCCTAACAACTCTCAGTACTCCTTACAAACTACAGCTCCCAGAATTCTTTGGGGGGGAGTCATGTCTGCTTAAAGGAAATGCTATCCTTTAATACCTCTGTGACAGGCAGAAATGCATTGGAAGAAAGGGCAAAAAAGCAAACATAGTGGCAAATAATGTGAACTAAAATCTTTACATCAGCCACAAAACATTCTGGGTGGTTACAGAGGGGTCACCACTAACCTCAGCCCTTTGTCAGGATTATGAGAAAATAATATTGGTCTTATAGGGGAGTTGTAAATATTACTTACAAAAATCTGTGTGAGTTGCTTTCAATACTTAAATGGGACTAAGTAGAGATCCCTTTGCACTGCATCTTCATGCTGAGAAAAGCATCACCTCTTGAATTTCTGCCTGCTGCACAGCTATTAAAATAGACCCAGGAGCCCAACTGGAGATAGGGGAAAGATCTGAATGTGTCCAGCTTGCAATATGTTGACTGAGTTGTTTTTATTTATTTATTTACTTGATTCCATTTGCGAAACCTCTTCCCCTGTAGCGTATTGAAGGGAATACAGTACACAATTTAAAAAACCACACAATATTTTTTTTCCATATGCAAAAACAATTTTAAAAAGTGATTCTATATAGAAAAACAATTCCGTAGATACAAACAATTATAAACATTTTCATATGTAAAAACAATTACAGTACAGATATAACTCAGATATGGGCTGGGGTAAAAGCCTGCCCTTGAAAGCCTTGTCGGACAAGGAAGGTCCTAAAAGACAGTAGAGCATTACAAGATAGGCAAACCTGCCACCATGGATCCCAGATCCAGTATCTGTTCCCTATGCCAGGACATAGACTTGTGAAATATGAATAATACGGAGAGATGTGGCTTCTGAGCACGTTCAGCCAGCCATATCTTCCCTACATGTGCACAGAGGAGTAAACAGCACATGCAAAAGATTTCTCTGTGTTGTAATTTTCTGCAAGGATGTGAGCTGTAGTTGTTGTCAGACTCCAACTCCCATCAACCCTAGCCAGGGCTGGCCCACCCAGCAAAGTGAGGTGACCAACTCAGGCAGCAGGATACACAGGATTGCCAGATCTTGCCTCCAAGGAATGCATTGTTGTCGTAGTGGCAACGATGACTGCAGTACAACTCCTTGGAGGCCAGATCTGCTGCCCCTTTGGCAGCCCCACCCTAATGCTGCCTCCACAATGGCTTCTCAGGGGTGCTACTGGTCTCCTGTCCCCTATTCCCAACGTCAATCTTTATTCCCCGCCCTTGTTCCCAGTGCTATTTTTCTAGAGAAAGAGGTGCTGGAACTCACTATGCTCTCTTATAATGGCAATGGTGCTCACCTGAAATGTTCCAGAACTGAGCTCTGGTGAGTTCTGGCTGAAAAAAAGCCCTGCTTGTTCCAGATATAGATCTTCACTCCCCTCTTCATCTCTGGCACAGGGGAGGGGGGAGGGGACACCCTTTTGTGGTTCACCTCAGGTGCCAAAATAGCTTGGGCCACTCCTGGCCCCAGTCAGCAAGCCCAGTGGTCAGGGCTAATGGGAGCTGCACTCCTGCAACATCTGGAAGGCTACAGGTTCCTCACCCATGCTCTAGGAGGTGCATTTTATTTATTTTAAACAATGTTTAAGGCTGCGCTAGTTTTCTTTCGACTGTGGTAGCAAACAGACCAGAAGCCAATGCACAAAAGTATAAATGAATTCCTGTACCTAGAGTTGTCAAGTTTTCAGCCAGCTCCTGTAATTATGCCTTGCAACAGTGGAATGCCCTGCACCAATGAGCAGCTAGCATTTATCACCATACATCAATCAAGTCATGGTTCAAGGCACAGCAGCAAGAGTGGGTGAATAAGTTGGCAATAGTGGAACCAGGGTGTTCAATTGATCCTTCACACAAACACACAAGTGTGTGTGTGTGTGTGTGTGTGTGTGTGTGTGTGTGTAAATTAGTTGGAAGGGACTGTGAGGGTAATCTAGTCCAACCCTCTGCAATGTAGGAATCATGTGCCCTTTGCGAGGCTCAAACCCACAACCCTGAGATTAAGAGTCTCATGCTCTACTGACATACGTCCCTAAATACAAATTGAGTCCATCCATTTCTGCTCACTCAACTCTCCATAGTAAGTTAGTGTCACTGACAACATTTATGCAAAAACAATGTTTATTACAGCACGGTGCCAAAAGCAGGGAATCTGTTTTGGCGATTAAGGGCTGGTTTCTATTTACAGACCTGAGATAGCATCTTACAAATGTGCTTACACGGTGACTTAATCTATTCAATTTGTATTTCAGACTTTTAAATTGTTCTTCTGCTTGCTATCATGGTGTCATCCGGGAATGTTTGCCATGGGGAAATGTCACTACATTGTTTTTATGGCCTGTGCTTGTGAGCTCCTGGGAAATGTTCAAGGAACAGGAGGATGCATGTAGACTTCTCCCCGCTCTCTGACTAATTAGATCCCATTGTAATTTTTTTAATGGAAATCTGCTGCCTACCCAATTCTCAGAGGTTTGGGATGGGTCATGATTTGCAACGTATCAACTGGCATTGAGAAACCTGTGGCCCTCCAGATGTTGTTTGACTAGAACTCCTTTGGCCTCTTCCCATTGGCCATGGTGTCCGCGCCTGATGAGAGTTGGAGTCCAACAGCATCTGGAGAGGTATGGCTTCTCCACCCTTATATCATATTTTTCTGTGAGTGCAACACTCTTATTTCCAGGAAGGGTGTTTGTATAGGGTCTGCCTAAAGTCAAGGATGGTGGGTGAGTTTTGCCACACTTATGGACACAATAGCAGACTGCGGGAGCAGACCAATTGTCCATCTAGTCCATCTGTCTCTGCACATATACAGTCATACCTCATGTTGTGAATGCTGTGGGTTACATCTTTTCAGGTTGCGTCCCGCGGCGACCCAGAAGTACCGGAAAGGGTTACTTCTGGGTTTCTCCACTCGCGCATGTGCAGAAGCGCAAAATGACATCACGTACATGCGCAGAAGCGGCGAATCGTGACCTGCGTGTGCACAGACGCGGGTTGCATTCCGATCAGGTTGCAAACGGGGCTCCGGAACGGATCCCGTTCGCAACCAGAGGTACCACTGTACATGTGTTTGTGTAAAAGCGTGCACACTTATTGATTTGCACTGCTCCACGGCTGTGTTCATATTGTATGCATCCATTGAACGTAACGTGCCAATAACTAATGTAGAATCACAGTGTTGTAAAGTTGGGAGGGAACCCCAAAGGTAATCTTGTACAACCTCCTGCAATGCAGTATAGCTCAGCTAACTGTGTGCACAGTTTGCACACTTCTTAAATGTCATGTGTGAACACTCCTTTGGTTTGCATTGACTGGCAGTGGCTCTCCAGGGGTCCCAGTCAGGAGTCTTCCCCTGCATATATCCCTCCCCCACCACACACTGGATTAACTCCTATGATGACTTTCACAAAGTTAGTCATCCCCCTTGGGAAGATGACTTGATTGTCTCCAAGTGTGTGAACTGGCACCATGACAGTGAGTACAACAAGCACCACTTGGGTGTTCTCTTCCTCCACCTCCTCTGTTGCTGCTGGAGTTGCCACTCTGATCTTGCACCTCCTCTCTATGCAAATGCTAAAGATGGCTGATAAAGAGCTTTCTTAAAAAACCAAATAAACCCCAACAACAACCCTTGTTACCTGGTGCACTTGGACGCACCCTGTGGCGCCTGGCTCTCCACGGCTGATGGGCGTATTGTAAAGCAAGAGACGGGGAGTCTGTTGGAGGCAACGCTTGGGTCTGCTGTTAAGCGCCCCAGCCAGCTACTTTTCCGGTTAGACCAGGCAGCTCTCTCTACAGAAATCTGAAAGGCAAATCTTCCAATTAAGACAGGTTTGCCACTTAGTTGGATAAGGCTCCTTCACAGGGGTAATGGGCCACGCCTTGGTTGCAAGGCTTTCCATGGGATCAGGAGATGGTGTCTGAGGTAACTGCAGACTGCCCAAAACAAGGCATGAGATTTCCTGATAGTTTCTCTGCTGTTGGGATGCCCGTGCCTCTTTCTTTCTTTCTGGCATTTATATAAACTGAATCATTAGCATTTCAAACACTGTACGTAAAAATAAATCCCACAGAGAATCTAAACAACAAAAAGGCATCATAAAACAAATCACCATCTTAAAATGCCTTTGTCATGCACCTGAAGTCCAGGAAGGAGTGCTTGTCTAATCTCATGTGACAGAGAGTTCCACCGGCTTGAGCCCACAACAGTGAATGCACAGGGGGCAAACAGCATAGGGATGTCGGGAACCAGTGCTATACTGAATCAGACCATCTAGCTCAGTATTGTCTACACTGACAGGCAGCAGCTCTTCAGGCAGACGTTTCTCCCAGCCCTACCTTCAGATTCTGAGGGTTGAACCTGGAACCTGGGCAGATACTCTGCCTCTGCACTATCCACTGGGACATCTTCTTTGGAGGTCTTTAAGCAGAGGCTTGGCAACCATATGTCAGGAGTGCTCTGATGGTGTTTCCTGCTTGGCAGGGGGTTGGACTCGATGGCCGTTGTGGTCTCTTCCAACTCTATGATTCTATGATCTGGCTCAGTAGTTTCTACACTGACTGGCAGCTGTACCCCTGTACAATTATTTCTGGTTTCTTCATTTTTATTTCTTCTTCATTATTTTGGTGACTTCATTTGTTGATGAATGTTATCTAACCTACCGCGTATTCTCTCTCTCACATGGGGGAAAATAAAGGGAACCGCACCTAAATTAATGATTTTCATTCTTTCTTCAAGTGTTTCTGATATTTAAGGGTGAGAGGCAGTGATGCTTCTGAGTACAGTACTAGTTTCTGGAAATTGCAGGAGGTGATTCTTGTTCTTGGGTCCTGCTTGCTGGTTTACCTCAGGCCTCTGGCCAGCCTCTGTGAGAACAGGATGCTGTACCCTGTTTGCAAGAGGAGTGTGTTACCATAGAAACTCAAGGATATCCAGTTCTATCTTCTTCTGCTATTTCCATCGCTCATGGGAAGCAGAGGAAGAAAGAACCCAGGACTCAAAAATTAATCAATTATGTAATGTTAAATTTGAACAACACATTTTCTCATTTTTTGCCCTCTGTTGACTGGGACTCTCAGGCTGGGTTTCTCTAGCCTGGGTTTAGTTGTGAATGTTTTAATGTTTTATTTTTTGTTTATAATTACTTTTGTTATGCTGTAGTTATGTATTTTTTCATGTTGTAAGCCCCCTTGAGCATGGTTTGAACTACGGGATGGTGGCATACAAATATAATTAGGTAGGTAGGTAAGTACAGTCATACCTTGGGTTAAATATGCTTCAGGTTGAACGCTTTCGGGTTGTGCTCTGCGGCGACCTGGAAGTAACGGAACGCGTTACTTCTGCGTTTCGCTGCTCGCGCATGCGCAGACAGTCAAGATGACGTCACGCGCATGCGTGGAAGCGGCAAATCGTGACCCACGCACTCGCAGACATGGGTTACGTTTGCTTCAGGATGCGAACGGGGATCCAGAATGGATCCCGTTCGTATCCAGAAGTACCACTGTATGTTAAAGTGAGTTGCAACCGTCTGAATATTGGAAACTGCCTTACACTATGTTGGACCTTTGGTCCATGTAGCTCAGTATTGCCTTCACTGAATGGGAGTCGGGTTTAAGGCAGGGAGTCTCTCTCAGCCCTGCTTGGAGATGCTGAGGATTGAACCTGGGACCTTCTGTGTCCATATCAGATGCCATGTCCCTTCTATGCCCTTCCATGGTGATGAGTTCTTTTTGACTAGGGATACTGAAGAACATCTGAAGAGCCTTAATGGAGCATGCAAGCTGCCCAGCTAGTCCAGCTTCCTGTGCTCCCAGGGGCCAACCAGATGCCTATGGGAAGCCCACAAGCAAGGCCTGAGGGCAACACAGCTGCTCTCCTCACTTATAAAAAAAAGGTAAAGGACCCCTGACAGTTAAGTCCAGTCACGATCAACTCTGGGGTTGTAGTGCTCATCTCGCTTTACTGGCCGAAGGAGCCGACATTTGTCCACAGACAGTTTTTCTAGGTCATGTGGCCAGCATGACTAAGCCACTTCTGGCAAACCAGAGCAGCGCACGGAAACGCCGTTTACCTTCCCGCCGGAGCGGTACCTATTTATCTACTTGCACTTGACATGCTTTCGAACTGCTAGGTTGGCAGGAGCAGGGACCGAGCAATGGGAGCTCACCCTGTCGCGGGGATTCGAACCGCCGACCTACCGATCAGCAAGCCCAAGGATCTGTGATTTACACCACAGCGCTACCCGCATCCCTCTCCTCACTTATGATTTCAAGCAATTCTTATTCAGAGACATTATGCCTTTGACAGTGGAGGTAGAACACAGTCATCCTTGGGGCTAGTAGTATGGATTTTTATAATCCTCATTTAAAGCCATCCAGATTGGTGGCCAACACTACATATTATGGGAGATAAATCTAATTCTTGACTATTTTGTTTATTATTGAAGGCTATTGACATTGATCTCTGTTTGTGCTCTTATAACAACAGACCGAGTGAAACAAGAGGTTGTATTCAACTAAATTATACTCAGAATAGGCACATTTAAAATAATGGACTGACATTAGTCATAGCTATTAATTTCAGTGAGTCTGCTCAGCCAGAGCCAGGGCCTTCTCAACACTGGCTCTGGCCTGGTGGAACGCTCTGTCTCATAAGACCAGGGCCCTGCAGGATCTGATTTCTTTCCGCAGGGCCTGTAAGTCAGAGTTGTTCCACCTGGCTTTTGGCTTGGAATTAACTCCCCCTCTTCCCTCTTTCCTCTTTCTTCTTTCTTTTTTCCTTCTGTGATGGAACTCCTACTTGGGGACTTCCCTGGCTTTTTTCTGGCCCACGAAGGACCAGTCTGGATAGTTAGCCTTGGTGAAGACGTGATGTTTTCATCCCAAAAAAAGTTTTTGAGTTTCTACTGAAATGAGGCTGCATTTTAATGTCGTATTTTAATCTTTTTTGAGTTGTATTTCAATCAATTGTTTTATATCTGGTGTTAGCTGCCCTGAGCCCAGTCTTCGCTGGGGAGCGCGGGGTATAAATAAAATATTATTATTATTAGTATTAGTATTATTAATATTAGTATTAGTATTATAGGACAGACACTGAATACAAGCCAGGTTAAGAACATCAGAAGAGCCTGCTGGATCAAGCCAATTCATAGCTGTCAACTTACAGATTTGAAAATAAGGGACCAGCAGCCTCAAAAATAAGGGATCAGCAGCCAAAATAAGGGATTTTCCAAGCACAGGTATGTTCAACTTCTGAGCCCCTCCGAGCCAAAGGCAGAAAGCCCAGCCAGCAGCCAAACGAAGCCTCAAGCCTCAAGGAAAACGACTGTCGCCTCTCCGCTGGGAAGCGCTGAGCAAAGGCGAGTCCCCAGGCAACGCGGCCGATTTGATCGGCACAAGGCATGCAAGCTCTACCCCCCCAGTCATTCTTAGACTTCTTATTGAGTGAGCAACGCTGCCAAGCAACACAGTTGGAGCCTCCCTCCTCCCTGGCCGGCGAGGGAGGGAGAGGAGCTGCTTCCTTTGAAACCTGGGAAATTTAAGGGACATCATCAATAAGGGACAGCAGCGGAACATGGCACTGGGATAAGGGACTGTCCCACCAAATAAGGGACGCTTAACAGCTGTGGGCCAATTGCCCATCTAGTCCAGCAACCGGTGCTCACAGTGGCCAACTAGATGCCTGTGGAAAACCTGCAAACAGGATCCCAGAACAAGAACACCCTTGTTTTCCTGCATTGCAGGAGGTTGGACTAGATGACCCTTAGAGTTCTACAATTCTATGATTCTATGATTCCTGCAGGTTCCAGTAACTGGGATTCAGAAGCATTGCCACCTCCTGCTGTGGAGGCAGAACATAGCCTTGTCTTCCCCCATGAATTTGTCCAATCCTCTTTTAAAGTGACCCAGGTTGGTTGCCACCACTGCCTCCTGTGGGAGAGAGTTCCACAGTTTAACAGTTTAACATGAAGGATGCTGGACTAGACCTAACCTGACATTACCTGGCATGGATTCTGAGCAGGTGCACACCTGGCTTAGCAATAACAACACTGGTGATAAAAATAATGCTAGTTATAAAAAATATTTAAAAATTATGGGCTTAAATACCATGTGATGTTAGATGCATCAACAACTGACAGGCACCAGCAAGTTCATGAAGTAAATAGAGGGAATGGGGGCAAGGGGGTGGGGGTGCGGACCTCCCAGTTAGAGTTTGTTTGATGATCTTGATGCCACTGGATAGACTGCAGTATCTTCTACCTCTTAATGTGGTTTGGTATAACTTGTAGTTAAGGCTGCCATCCATAGTGTGCTTTCTAAAGAGTAAGTCCCACTTCTGTGTAGAAATTAGTGGGGTTGTGCTGTCTGGCAATTCATTTATAAGGCAAGAGTTTACAATTGCAGTTGCTGCCCCAGTCCAGGTAAACTCAGATCAACCACAGAGAATCATTCTAGGTCCAAACATGATCCAAAGACAAAGTGAGTCAACGGTCCAAGGTTCAGGCAGGGAATTCAGGCAACTCAAGTCAGCTGGAAGTGTAGCATCAACCACTAGGAACCAAAGGCCTGCCTTATCTCCAGCCACAGGAAGGCTCAGGAGGGAGGCCTTAAATACTGCCACATGCCACCCCAATCTCTGAGCAGTAATATTCCAGATTCCAGGGTTAATTTCCCTGGAATATCGGACAGTGGAGGCTTTGGTGTCTTTAGGCTATATTGTTTATTTATACAAATTTACATACAACCTGAGCCTATGGTGGAGGGGCTCATAGTATTAACACCTCAGAAGGTCTTGCTTCTCCCATAGTAACTACCTTGAATTCCAGCAGAAATTAAGCATGGCTTGCACTTTCTGGATTCTGCCTGCTTCTAGCCCAGTTCACAACATTCTACTTTGCTTTTCTCTTTTTCACATGGCAGCCAGGTGAGGGAGAGGGCCCATCCACTTGCCCTCTGGCACAGAGCAACTTCCTTTGTTACACTAAGAACCCACTGTACTGAGCTGGTAATAGGACACTCGCCTGACTAATTCAACTACGGAGTCCTCCCTTAGATTTTTAACCCTTGCAGACTAACCCCACAAACTCACAATATTTTTGCTTCCTAAACCACACCCGAACCACAGCTGCTGGCAGTGAAGGAGCATCAAGGATTGCTTACTTGCAAGTAGACTGATGATGCTGGGTGCCTAGATGCATGCTGTGCCATTGCTTTGGGTGTCAACACTTTCGGGGGCAGCCCCACCACCTCCTCTGACAGTTCCAGGGGGTTCTTCATCAGGTATTGGCCTAGACTCTGGAGGATCCATGGAAAGGATCCTCAGCATTGGGTTCAGGGGGCCCTGCCTGTATGTGGCCCCAGGTCAGGGCTGGGTATACAAGAGAAGAGAAGGAATGAAGAGAAGAGAGGGATTGGGGGTAACCAACAGAAACAAGGCAGTAATTAATGCGAGGAAATGCTGTACCAGAACTGGATAGCTAAGTTGGTTAGAGTGTGGTGCTGATAACACCAGGGTTGCAGGTTCAATCCTCGTATGGGACAGCTGCATGTTGTTGCATTGCAGAGGGTTGGACTAGATGACCCTATGGGTCCCTTCCAACTCTATAATTCTATGATTCTGTGATTCTATGTGTCGAATCTGAAACATTAGCGTCAGCGGTGGGGGCTTTTTCAGACTAGGCAACCTTCTGGGACCCACGTGACAGTGATGGCTGGGGAGAGAGGCAGAAGTTGGCAGAGCAAACAATGCATATTTTATCTTTGTGCGGTTAGTTTATGCACACAGTCTTACAACTCTTTCTCTAGCCTCCGTCCTGGCAACCAATGGGCATTGAGCAGAGTGCTGGAACTATTTATTTTATTTCCCCATGATTATGTACCACTTGATTGTAATAAAACCTCAAAGTAGTTCACAAAAAGAATTAAATTATCAGTAAAAAATAATAATCAAAACAAATATTTAAAATATATATATAAAAAAATCAACAATAAGTGTAAACTAGATTAAAGCATATGACAGCTTCTACTTGGGCTTGCCTATACAAAAATATTTTTAGCAGGCACTGAAAAGAGTGCAGTGAAGGTGTATGCCTGACATCAATAGGCAGGGAATTCCCAAGTGTGGGTGCTGCCACACGAAGAGATAGATTCCTTACAAGTGCAGAATGAGAATTATATGGCACCTCTAACAGTGCCACGTCTGCAGATCAGGGCATATGTAGGGTAAGGCAAGCCAAACTGTTAAGGGCTATATATACTAATAGTAACACCATGAACCTGGCGCAGTAGCAAATTGGCTATCAGTGCAGGTGTCTGAGAAGAGCTGTTCTATGCTGACATAGATCTCACTCCTGTCAGCAGTCGTACTGAAGCATTCTGCACTAATTGCAGCTTCTGGATCAAGCACAAGGGATGCCCCACCTGGAGCACATTGCAGTAATCCAATCTTGAAGTAACCAGTGCATAAACTACTATGGCCAACTCTCCCGGTCCAACTAGATGACTTCCAAGGCCCTCTGAACTCTTAAAATTCAACGATTCTGTTATTCTAAATCATAAGCAGACAACTAAAATGTGCTCTGTGTGGGGCTAATCTTGGCCCTGATCCAGGGACTCCAGCTGTTTCAAAACGTCTAGACTGTTGATTATTGGCAGCACAACTCCAGTGCTCAAAAGCTTGCATGGGCTGCTCATATCCTACTGGGCCAGATTCTGGTATTATTTTACAAAACCCTTAACAGTTTAGGTCCAGGATACCTCAAGGACAGCCTAATCCCATAAATCAGTGGCCAGTCACTGAGGTCTTGGAGGGAATCACTGTTTATGGTTCCCCATGACTCAGATGCATGACCCTAAGAACATAAGAATAGCCTGCTGGATCAGGCCAATGGTCCATCTAGTCCAGCATCCTGTTCTTGCCATATGTCCAGCAGCAGTGTCCGGGTGGAAACTGGCAAAATGTTTGGGAAAATCCGTATGGCAGCCCATGCTGGCAGTGTCATTTTTGTCCATAAAAATAGTTTTTGACAAAACAAGAGCTGTTCCCTGTTTGGAATATGTCAACCCTATGAGTGGCCAACCAGATGCCTATGGGAAACCTGGGAGCAGAACATGAGCACCAGAGCATTTTCCCCTCCAGTGGTTTCCAGCAACTATTTGGAAGCATTGCTGCCTCCAATTCACTAGGAGCATTCAGTACTGTGGTCCCAGTTTGATAGAACTTCCTTCCAGCTGAGATCAGACAGGCTCCCTCCTTGTTCAACTTCTACTGGATAGGCTACCTTCTTTTATTCCAGCAGACATTTCAATTGAAGTCTGATTTCATAGTTTTAGCCAATTTTTCCTTTTCTGTGTTGCATTTTCTCTGCACCTCTTAGAGATGCTTCCTGTGTTTATAAAACAGGGGCATGAAGGAGGGCACATTGGCTTTATAACTGGGTGGAAGGTCCTCCTGCAAGGGTCTTCTGCTGGTTCCCTTACTGCAAGAAGAGAAATTACAGGGAACCAGACAGAGGGCCTTCTTGGTAGTGGCGCCCACCCTGTGGAACACCCTTCCATCAGATGTCAAGGAAATAAACAACTATCTAACTTTCAGAAGACATTTGAAGGCAGCCCTGTATCAGAAACTTTTTAATGTTTGATGTTTGGTTATGTTTTTTTATATGCTGTAAGCTACCCAGAGTGGCTGGGGTATGATGATGATGATGATGATGACGACAACAACAACAACAACAACAACAACTCCATGGTTGCAATGTGTGGGAGGAATGGGGTGCTGGAGGTTACCATGGGGGTGGTTTGTGTGCACAGAGGGGGGCTGCATGGACATGGGGTGAAGGTGAAAACAGGTGTGCAAAGCAGGGCTGCAGAACAGAAGTGGCTTCAGAAATGGGATTGGGAAGGTGAAAAGGGAGCTCAGGACATGCATGAGGAGGGAAGGAGAACTCTAGGGGTTTTGCAGAGGGGAATGGCAGCAGGGTTGGCTAGTGGTGCGAGCAAGGATGCGGTCCCTAAATAAAATAATAATTAAAAAATTATGTACGGAGAGACCCTTCTTCCCTTAGAGCTGGAATACCATTTTGATTCAGCATTTTAGAACACAACTCCCTCCCGCACTCCCGCCACCCTGATGAAAGCATTATCATTCCACACAAAGAACCTTTCTCTCCTTCTCTCTCCTGCAGTCCATTCAGTGAGGCTCCTCTTTATGACTCAGTGATTACTTTAATCTCCATAACTCTATTATTCCACCCCGCACCCCATTTAGGAACAGCAACATCTCGTCTGTAGGGAATGAAATCGGCTCTTAATGAAGAAACACTGGGAAGTTCAGCCTAGTACTTCTTTCTCTCTCCCTTATAATTGGCTGCTTGGATAACAGTAATTTCAGGTAATCTTTAATAATTTGCAGCTCTGAGGCATTTTGCGAGAACCAAAGCTCCCCCCCCCCATTTTGTTTTATGCAGCCTTGTGGTGGTGGTGGCGGGGGGCGGGTGGGTAGGAATGCCTTCACTTGGATCAGTTTCCTGGTGTTTGCACACCCTGGTGAACACACGTTGACACATCAAAGAGCTGGTCACCGATGGTCTATTCCAAAGAATGTTTTGGGATAAAAATAAGGTCATTGTTTCAAATGGCTGCTGGCTATCGGATCCTTTGGTGGCTCTGCTTTGCCCAGGGCAGAGATGGATGAGTCCACGACCCCAGGCTGAATTCAGTTCCCAAAGCAATTTTATCCACCTCCCTTAGCAAATTTTAATGACAGTATGGCAAATACTTTGTTCTCTGCTTTCTTTGTAAGGTGGGGAGAGAGTGCATTTCTCTTTTGGAATGTCTTTTCCAGGCACAGGCAAAATCGGCCCTCCAGATGTTTTTGGGACTACAACTCCCATCATCCCTGACCACTGGTCCTGTTAGCTAGGGATGATGGGAGTTGTAGTCCCAAAACACCTGGAGGGCCGAATTTGCCTATAACTGGTCTTTTCTAACCTGTCTTGCAGATGTTTCAAACTACAACTCCCATCAGCCCCAGGGAGCATGGTTCCATTGTCAGGGGTGACAAACATTGTAGTCCAAAATATCTGAGAGGGCATCAGGTTGAGGAAGGCTGGCGAATGCAATGTTCCAGGAGCTCTAGGACTCCTCCACAGCAGTAGAAATCTTTTAAATTTATGGCTGTGAGACTTGATGAGGGCAAGATTTCAGGCACCTGCAGTGCAACCTGAACTTTTTCTACTCAGGTGACATTCCTGTTGAATTCAATGGGACTTACGCCCAGGTAAGTGAGTTGAGGATTACAACCTTAAGACAAGTCCCATATCAGGGATGACTGTGCCCCTGCTGTGTGATTGAGACAGCATATTTGGATTAATATTTACCTAGCGAGAAGTGCCTGATGCTGCCCAGGAATTCGAAGAAATGAAAGCATATTGCAATTTTTATATGTGTACTGGAATTTGTGAGTTTTAGGGCTGTGCATGCACACACCAACCCAGGGTTCCAGCCTGATCCATGTAACACGTGATGCAACCCTGAATCGGTTTGTGAGCTAATATTTGGTTAGGGTTTATTTGGTCTGTCATCTTGAGTCAACATGGTATCTGGTGTCCAAATCATAGACAAAGACCATCTCCCCCATCATGACAGCCCTTGTGCTCAGTTACAATATCTTCTGAGGTATCCAAATCAGTGCAGGTTAGAACTCTCACACCAAAATTGGCAAAGTCACATAAAACTGGGCGATGATACCTCCAGAGATACACTTTTTGGACCTTCAACACAACACTGAGTGAAGTCATGCCAAAGTTACGTTTCGGTCAATCGTATTGATTTAAAATAGTGCTCAGTGTCCAAATGTAGATGAATCATGGGTACTGTAGATTGTTAAGGGTGTTGGGAATTGTAGCACTGTGAGGAATAAATTACAGTTCCCAGGATTCCTTGGGGGAAGCCATGTATGTGAGTTGAATGCGCTTTAAA